CTATAATCGCATTTATTTATTAGTAAAATACCTTGAGTTCTATACAAAGAACATATAAGTTAACTATTGGAGTTAAACTCTGCCGATAGTTCTATACGCTCTCCCAAAACAATAGTAACAGTGGCATTTCGCTACGATCAGTGATTATCAATTCATCTGTCCAGTAAAAAAATCCGACAAAAACGTTATGAAAGATAAAAATGTCGGCTCACGAATGAAATAGTAATAGAAATAGATAGTAGCAATAGAAATAGCTACGTACGTACGTACGTACGTACAAAAAATGATGGACGAAAATTTCTTTTCCTGAAATCTTGGCTGTACAAAAATAGTCATAACCTAAACCACTTACAGTAAAAGTCGATGCAAATCATACGCCACATATATATATATATGAAAAAATGGTGCTTGCCAAGAATCGCACAAATCGCTGCACGGTAGACAACATTGCAGATTCGTGTAACACTTATGCATTGAATGACAGGTTTGATATATCCAATCAATTAATGACAGGCTTTACACCTAACGTTAATAATTAAATATAAAAAATTTATAATAACAATAAGAATGTTTATTTTGTAAATATTTCAAAGCTGACTCTGCAACGTTTGAAATGAAAATTTTCATTTATTAGAACTATTTAAACTAAATTTATTACTAATTTTTATCAATTGTTAACATGAATTGTTAGAAAAAACAATATATATTGTACTATATGTCAAAATATGTACGTATTTAAATACCAAATTAACAACAAATGAAATCTTAGAAATAAAAAATTTAAACATTTTCAAAATATTTTCGACAAGTTTAAAGATTCTTTAGTAGAATTAACAACCAGGCTTTCCAGTAGTAGGCCCAGAATTAGAACCCTTTTTATTTATTCCTACTTTATCCCCGGGTTTACATGCTCGTAATTCGAGTGAACCATGCTTGCTTAGGATGCTATCTTCGCCACAGTCGATATTTTGGGGAATTTTTGCTGAAAATGGTCCTGTACCGCCATTAACGAATTTAATATTTAAATATTCGGTTATGTCATGAAGAGATTTCCCATAGTCATCTAGTATGTGGAAAGTATATTCGCCATCTTTTTCAAATCCTTCTGAGAAAAAACCGAAAATAGAAGTACCACCATTCTCCTCTTGAATAAGGGTTATTTCACCTTTATAAACATCATCAAATTGACTGTGAATATAAGTACATGGACATTTTTTTTCTTTTTCACCACGTTTCAATAGAGGAGATCTTTCAGTTATTAGTGTAGGAATAGCCAAGGACACAGTTAGGAAATAAAAAAAGAATAAAATGACATAGAGTGTCAAAGAAAAATGTTTTTTAATCATGATTAATTAAATTTAATTAAATAAGCAAGTGTCAGATTTGTAATTTGAATGTTGAGTATTTTGTAATTAATTAGAATTAAATTTGAGTTGAAATTGTGTTTTCAAAACTGAAAAGAGTCTATTTATAAAATGAGAAGTATATGTATGTCATCCTAAAATTATCTTTTCCCTGGAGTTTATATACGTGCATATTGTAAAACCTCGAAATAGCTGACATGGGCGTTACTTTGAATTACGGCCCGAATTAAACTTGATTCGGGCCGTAACTCAAAAATAACGCCATCGAGATCTTCGGTACATACATCTACACAGATCCAGCAAGGAACTACGTACATATGTATTTTGTAAATGTATTATAAATATATAATATATTAAGGATATGTAATATATTAAGAAAATTTTTAATAATAAAGGATGTGAGGGCAAAAAAAGTAACAGGATAAAGATAATGAAATAAGATTTGGCACAATTACGGTTAAACTGTTCCCACGCGCGGTCTTGAAGTATTGTTATTATTGTTCGTTATACAAAAGTAATTTATTCAAATACGATTCCGATAGTAAACTTTGTCGACAGCATTATTGCCTTTTTCTTCATTAATAATTAAAACTGTCCATAAACTGATGTTGAATTTTATTCAACTCTCAATAATCGGTTGAAAGGGATGTGAAAAATCCAGTCTAAGATTTGTGATTTGTGTCGGATTTGTTCAGGGGATTTTAAAAGGCCGATTTCAAAAGCCAAACGCCATTGATTGGCGCAACTTGAATGCATACATTGCATACATGCACATGTTTATTTTGTAATATTGTATCATACTGAATATATAAGAAATTTATGCTTATGTACGTACGTACGTACGTAGTTTAATTGCAAGTTTGACTTTAAGCCCTAGCTTTGATAAAAACTCAACCTTTAGAGTCAGACTTTGTCAGTAAAAACATCAAAACAGCTTGTTTTAGTCGGTTAATTTTAATCGAGTTTTTTTTTTTTAAAGTCGACTCAAGTTTTCTATACGTACTGTATTGGTAATTCGACTAATTGAAGCAAAAAAAGGCATGTGATCAAATATATTAATAATCTGAGTTTTCGATAACGACAATTATATTTACGATGGTCTTATGATTTGATTATATAGCAAGCTAGTCTATAACAACGAATTTATGTTGTACGTAAATACATACCCGATACGTATGATATATGTGCATTAAGAAAACAATACCTATTGTATGACCTTTACTTGATCTTATTTAACATTATTTTGACCAAAACAAGTTAACAACAAGATTATTGACAGATTAACTGTTTTAATATATAGTAATCAAACTATATATAAGCATACCCGTTCTCTTGGCGTGAATATTTCTCGATTATTTTAAATAATTGTAAATACGTAAAAGTTGTGAAATATCGGCTATATACCTAAAAATGTTGCGTAGATCCGTTAGATTTTGAATTATTTATTCATAACACTACTCCTGAAATAAAGTTATTTATTGTATAGCAAAATTTGATATAAAACATTGTGCTTAAAATAGAATAGGGATTGGTTACTAAAATTTTCTTATACAGCTGGTATTAGGATTTAATCGTTAAAATAGAACATGCATATCATTAGCTCTTAGAAATTGATATAATGAGGGGTTTCAGAATTAACGTGCGGAAATCTAATTTGACAGAAATGGATATTGTATTTATTTTCAAATGAGCAATGTATCGACTTTATTTCATTTTCCGATAAATTTTTAATAATGATTTTTGTCGTTGAAAAGTTTATTTATTTCGTTAAATGGGAGTCTCTAAACACTCCCATTCCATTTTCCGATTTCAAAAATTTAATATACAAATAAGATTTTTTAAGCTCCTACTTATTTTCGAAATACGCTATTTTTTTTTTAATTCTGAAACCCCTCAATAATAGGATTTCGGAGTTAAAAATAAAAATTCTGGTTTGATTTATAATTTAATGTAACAAAATCAATATTTAAAGGAAAATTGCTTCGCAAAATACGTCATTTCTCATTAACTTTGAAACCCTCAAATGGTAATATCTTGATATAAAAAGTTGTGTTTAAAAAAAACTTATTAAATCATTTATGTGAAGATTCCAATTTGCCCGAGAAATAATTATTTATGAAGGCAGACCCGGACCGATCTCAAAATCGTTTTTTTTTTATTAATCCATTTCTAGGGGCAAAGTTCATGCAAACTGCAACGCTACAAATGCTATCCAAAATTCTACTCCAAACCCTAAGAATTGAAAGTTTCGATCGAGGCGTGAAAGACTTGATTCGAATAATTAATGTTATGTCAATTAGAACTCTTTATTACGTCGCGAACTCCTGAATTTTGGGTTCAAATTTTATAAAATTGAAGCTTTTTTATTACAGTAATTTTGGGAAAATTATTAAAGCGAAATACGTTATCGTGACTTTCGAGTGTTGAACTTACCTTTATTCACAGCATTTATATATGGTACTAAATAAGAGAATTTATAGTTAAGATAAAAAAATTATACTAACCACTTTAATTATTATTAGGATTTGAGAACTTAATATCCTTTAGAATTTAGTATATTAAGAATTTTCAGGATTCTAAGTATTTCACGAATTTGTACTTCGTAGGGAATTCAATATCTTCTGAAATCAATCTTTTTTTTTTTTAAACCATGCAAGTGATTGCTACCTAATGTTCAGATTATTAAAAGGCAATCAATATACAATAATGACCTCATAGGCAGTCGTGGCCTCATTTAATTAATAATCTCAGAATTTACTCACATTACGGCACTGTGCACCCTTATTATGTTAATTCTAATCTTAATTGATGGCGCAAATGCATGTTCTTTTGATTTTGCATTGCATAACGTAATAATACGTATGTTTATGGGACACTTGAAGAACAGTTAACCCAGTGATCAACAATCACATGATAAATATATTATGACGTTATTTGTTTACCAGAATTAAATAGATTGGCCTAAACTATAACTCTAGAACCCTAATCTAGGCCGAATGGTTGTCATATAATATTGTGATAATCAGGGTTAGCTCTTCTTCAATCTACCCATGGTTATTTTCATCTGACAAAATATGAATTTGATATTACTTAACATTGTAGAAACCTTGCTTGGCATAAAGAAGGTAGTCCAATAAACAGGACTTTATAGACATATTTATTTCCCTGCATTGAAGATTCATGATTTTACCATCGAGTTAAATAACTTAAAGACATACAATATATGCTAAGTTAAAATAAATGTTTTCTTTTTACAACCAAATACAATGATCAAAAGAATAATATAAAATTACAGCTAAAATCTTTTTTCATATTCCAGTGGCCAGTGCAAAAGTTGAAAATGCACTGGGATCTCGATAACACAAATATATACTACACCACAACATTAATAATGACTAGACTACTTTAAACAATCCTACTGATAGTTGAGGCGTGGAAAGACTTGATTCGAGTGGTTAGGGTTAATTAGAACCCTAGATTACGTCTCAATATGGAACCATAGGGTTTAGTCATTAATTTCCATCGTATATATGAGATGCTAAATAATTATGATGGAACTTTATTGACTCTGTTCGGGACTCAAACCGTCACCGTTTGCTCCAAAACCAGTTGAACTAGCTAGCTTATCACGTTTGTTGAAATCATAAATATTGAGTCATGTCATGCGTTGATAAATATCGTAAAATTTGTCCAATTGTGTAAATGATTGGCTGCATGTGCCGCTGCTCGTGTTATCCGGCAATTCATGATCATGATTCTCAAGTCGTGATTTGCTAACTGAGTTTTAATTCGAATAAACATGATT